TAAAAAGATGCAGTATCTTTCTGCATAATCTTTTAAAATCATTATGTACATGCTTTATTCTTGTCAGTCATCCTCAACCTTATTCTCTAGATGCAATTATACTGCAGCTGCAGAATTTCCAGCCAGCAAAGGATTTTTAGCCAGAACATATTCAAGGTATACCAAGTGAGGGTTGGCTTGGCTGAAGCTATTCTTTCCCCACTACTGCTATAATTTCCAAGACAATTCTCTGTAGATTTTTTTAAAAAAATGGCTACAAGATTAGACACATCCAAACTCTTAGAATGTAGCATTTCAGTGTATTTAATAAGATGATGAGGGAAATCTTGCACAAGTACAATGAGTTAATAATTTCCCATGCCAAAAATGGAGAACCACTAGATTTTCCTTTTGTTAAATTTTCCTAATAATTATTCTGCAAAATCCTATGCCAACCCATATGCATACTGCAGTTGAATAAAAACCTTCCTACTTGATCAAGCCAGAGAGGTCTATCTGGTCAAGCATCCTGTTTCTCCTAAATGTCAGCTAGCTCAGTGTTTCTCAACCTCAACAACTTTAAGATGTATGAACTTCAATTTCCAGAATTCCCAAGTCGGCTCTGAGCTAGATAATTCTAGAAAAGTCAACTCCTATTGTTACCCAGCAACTGGTATACATAAAGGAAATTGCTTGAAATTGCTTGTTTTCATTGTCAGGGCTAGGAGCTGATTTCCTATAAGAACACAAGACTGAGTGCAGATACCACAATAGAGTCCCAAAACAACAGAGGGAGCACTAGTCATTCAACTGGTTAATTCCTCTTTTGTAATTACCCTTCTCTGTTAAGAAATTTCACTAGGGAAAGCTGCCCTCAATCTAATCCCAGTGTACTCCAAGTTGGAAAGCTTTGTTAATTACATCTGTTTCTGGAAAGGATCTTCCAGTTATAAAAAACTGACAAGAAATCTAATACATTGTGTTATATGAAAAATACATAGCTGGCTTATGGCCTCAGAACTATTTCACAAATCCCCATTCAGTTCTCATTTCAGGCGGCTTCTGCAGAAAACAATTTCTTAAGTAATTTCAGTGAAGATTGAGCTATAATGCGCTGGCTGGTACTGCAAAATTCTCTTTTGCTAAAAGTCTGGAACCAATGTCCTGGAACACTAGGGAGTGCGGTGGGAAGGATGTCTGCTGTTGGAAATGTTTATAACATTTCTTCTGTAGGGATTGTTCTGACTAAGTAAGCATGCTGATTTTAAATAGCTAGAGGAGATGTTTTCTAGACTTCCCCAGCACCAGCACTGCTGACATTATAAACTGCTCCTGTCAGAGTTAAGGAAATCTCAGAAGATGATATGGAGGTTGAAAAGACACAACAGGAACTACCCAAAAAGTGCCCTGTTATATTGTAGACAAAGGATTTTAAGCTAAGCATGTTTTTTTTTCTTTACAGTATCATTGATCTGCTCTTGAACTATCTGGTCACACATCAAAGAATATATAAAATTTCTTCCCATGATATTAATGAATTCTTCTAAACAGTCACATTTAGCGTTTTAGAGTTTTTAGAGTCCCACTTTTTTTCTATATCCTTATAATAGTCCTTATAACAATTTTAAAATCATGGACTGATTTCCTTTATTTCTCATACCCAATCATAGCTTATTTGCCTTTGCAGTTTCAGTCCTTTTTGTCCAACTTAGATGGATTAGTCCAAATTATTTTGAATGACTTAAATGTCTTTGTAATAGTATAATACTGTATCTTAGCAAAAGTTGGGAAGACAACTGAACTATTGTGACAGGCCATGAAATTGTTATTTCTCTCTGCTGCAAGAAACTATATTGTGATCTAAGCATAAAATGACCACACATTCACTCACTTTGGCGCTGAAGCTGACAATAATATTCAGTAGTTTTTATTTTCTTAACTTTTACTTATAAAAACATCAAACAAAAATATTGGAGGAAGCTTATTTTCACAAGCAGATCCATTAAGGTTTTTTTTAATCCAGGTTGTTGTGGAAATTAAATTTAAACACACAAAAAACCTAGTTTCCCTTTATCTTTATCCACATGATGAAGAAGCCCTAGAAACTTGCTGTTTGTCATACAAAGCCTAATAGAACAGACTCTCTGCTGTTCACACTATGCATATTGATTAGTTGCTGCAGCACATTTTTGTGAGACCACAGTGATGAACCCAGTACAAACACTCTGGGTAAAGCTCCATTTTCTGCATGTCCAATGTTTTTGCGGCAGATGTTTTTGCAAGCAGATAATTTTAAAAAGTTTTTTTATTTGTTGCAAAAGTCCAGAGTTTTCCAGAGAATTAGCAGTCTGTTGTTAATCCCTAAATTTAAGATTTAGAGATATAAAGTCTCCCTCCCCATCCCAGTTATATTCAAATGCTTAGTTTTGATGAACTGTGAATATGAAGGGCATTTTCAAATACAGCAGAAAACCTTTCGACTGACTTGAGCTGCCAAATATTTGTATTTAAGAACTAGCATGTCTTTCAGGATGTAGATCATTACAGGTCCCTTGGTATTTGTGTTAAATACTGAAATAGATGGATAAGGTTATGTTTAAATCACGTTTTCCTTCTGTTATCACTCTAAATATCACTCACTGTCCTGTGGATGAAACATAGAAGCAGCAAGCTGAGCATATATAATAGGTTGCTTAATTAGGCAACCTCCTTAGGAAGAAGACCAAATCTTAGGACATGAAGCTTACATTGAGAACTGTGGGAAAGAATACAGGAAGTCCTTGATTCATGACCACAATTGGGAACAGAATTTCTGTTGCTTCGCAAGGTGGTTGTTAAGTAAATCACACCCAATTTTACCTTTTGTTATGGTTGTTAAGTGAACCATTGAATTATTAACTGAATCATATTGCATTATTAAATGAATTTAATTTCCCACATTGACTTTGCTTGTTGGAAGCCAGCTTGGAAGGTTGCAAATGGTGATCATATGATTTTGGAACATTGCAACTTTTTGCATTTGTATTTTAACTTTCGTAAATATATGCCACTAGCTAAGTGCATGAATTTGGATCATGGGACTATGGAGAACACTGCAAATGTTGCAGATGCAAGGACTAGTTGTTAAGTCACTGTTTTGTAACTTCGAATGGCTGCTAAATGAATAGCTCTATGTCAAGCACTACCTATATTGAGATACAGAACCAAAAGAAAGTTCGATACTTTCTTGTGCTGAAAACCATGTACTAGCTTTTCTCTATGATGCAGATTGCGCCCGATCTTTGAGAATCAGCTGTCAACCTTCATATTCAAATACTATCTACAAGTTAACTCAGTATCCAAGAGAACAGAAACAATAAGTCATAATGACAAACACAATTTGGTTTCCTTCAGACTCTCATTTTATAAAACTATTTAAAAACTTATAAAAGTGTTTTGAAAATAAAAGACATAGGTTTTTGGAGAGACAGTAAATGATAACTGGATGCTTTCAAAAAGAAAAAAATGTATGGCATTGTGATTTTAAAAAAATGTTTATATAAAGGCTTATAAAATCAGAGCTTGAAGTGAGAACAACTGAGCGCTTCTAGCCTTACAAGTTCTCGTTTGCTCAAAAATAAGAAAGCAAGCCAGACAAGTAAAGTTTCCTTCAAGTAAGCAAATAACTTCATGGACACATCCATGCAAGATTTGTTTTTGGTAATACTGTGGAAGTGCCGCCTTTATGGGATTATTTCCCCCCCCCCCAATTTTCTCATCTAGTCTAAAGCCTTAGTATCCTTTAATATTATCACACTCCTAAGTCCTGAGACTGCTTAGGTTTTCAGCTCAGACACGATCAGCCAAATGCTGCCATGTGTTGATGCAACGCAGAGTCTTAAATTCAACATCAGCACTCCCATAAATAGTAGATATTATCCAGTGAAAATTAGTTGCATCTAAATCTCCCTGACAATCAGTGGAGACGAATTACTTCATTAAATTTTAAGTTAGCCTCAATTGACCTAGGGCTTATAATGATCTAATGTTTATTGTATAGCAGTCACTATACAGCAATGGACAATATGTAATGCCAAATAATGAACAATCACTTTGAATAATAACTGTGCCGTATTAAATCAACATCCAAACAGAGGGGAAGAATATTTTCCATCATGAGCAGAACAACCACCAAATGAGAATTTAGAATTTGCATGGAATATGTTGGCCTCAGTTCATCATATTCTTTAAATTTATTAGAGTGATACACAGTCAGTCTTTCTCTAGGAAATGATTTTTTTTAACCACTTTGTGATAAGATCATTTACAGTTAGTTTTACAAGGGATTTAATTCTCTCTTTAACAAAGGCTGAGAAAATGTATGCACAGATTCACCAGTTGTTTTGATAGTGTAGAGTGTATGAGTGTGAATGTATGCATGCAAAACACCAGTGCCATGTAATCCAAACTTCAGTCCCCAATTCGTAGTCCAGGCTGTAATTTGTTTGCTGAATGTTTCTTATTCTCTATTTTTTAAATTTCCTTTTAGTTTGACTGCTGTTGGTTATATATTCTGCCTTTGTTTTAGCCATGATTTCAATCTGAAGTCAAGCAGGCTGGATCTGGGACCACGTCACTGTGTGGCAGGTTCACTGCCATTATGATGGTGACGTTCACCACTGAACATCTCATATAGACAAGGGAGGAAAACACTGATTCTTTGAAGCTCATTTGCCATTGCCGATGGAGAAGAGTGGTACAAAAGCTTTCTCTATGATGTCTAGATCTGCAGCTAGGAGATGAAATATGTGGTGATATTTGGCCTCAGATCTAGGGGACTACACTTGTGCATTTTAAACTCTGAGCTCACTTTTTTATTATTTTTATTTTGTTTTATTAAGAACCCCATTGGTCTGGTAAGAAACAGTAAAAAGACCCTTTGTTTAAAGAAGCATTCTACTTTCTGTTTTACAGATTGTTTTAAATAAGTTTTTTTTTTAAATTCCATGTTCTTTTGTAATGGAAACACTAATATCTTGTTGTTTTTTTTTTTGTATAAAATTCTTTCAATGCTACCACTTCTCTATAATATGGCTCATGTAGTCCTCGGTAGGCAACCGTCCTTGTTCTTCTGTCTCTTCCCTGGGAAGTGCTTCATTTGATCGGTGAAGAAGCCTTTCTTCCCGATTCTTTATTCTCTGCTCCATCCTCTCCAGCTGCCTTTTGTACTGATAGCGCTGTTGGAAGAGGTCTTTTGCATAGTCGTACAGCTGCATGTCCAAGTCATTAAGTTCTTCAATTCTCCGTATGGTCTTGGTGTCCACCTCCACTCCACCTGCTCTTGTGCTATTATACTGCATGAATGGCCTGATAAATTTTAGATTGAAAGTTCTCTCAAACAAATACTGTGTTTTTCTCTGGAATTCTGTCAAGCCAAAAAAGGCCATGTCTCTGAGATTTTTCTTGGCACTTTCCAGCAGTATCTGTGCTCGTTTGTTTTCTGGTATGAAGGACATATTGTAGCAGCCTACCAAGCTTAGGTCAGCCAACATCCTCACTTGGCGATTGTTAGCTAAGTTATATGGGCAATCCATGAACTCCTGAAGAGTACAGCCTGACCAGTCTGTGCCTTCATAGCATGATGGCAGTTCTTCAGGGGTTGGTGTCCGGCCATCACACATATGTAAGGATGTTTTCCAGGTAGCTCCTCGTTGGACATGCCTCCATTCACTGAGATAACGGGACACAGGATCCCTTAGCAGAGTGATGTAATAAAATTTCCTGTAAGAGAGAAAAAATGCATGTAAGAATTACAGATTGTACACATAAATATTTTTATTTTTATTTTATTATTTATGTATTTATTTATTAAATTTATTGGCAGCCCATCTTATCACAGGGTAACTTATCCAGTGGCAGTTAATAATATTACTTGTTTCTTATTAATTTTTAAGGTTTACATTATCTGAATCATATACATTTCTTTTCCACTAGGCTCCGTAGTACTAGTTTCAAGGAGTGTCAGTATAATTCAATATAACTCAACTGATCTGTGATCATTCAACAGTTCTTTTGGCATTAAGAATCAACTGACATTTCATATTATTATACAATTAAATGTACATGGCAATAAGAAAGAAAGACAGGAAACAGAAAGATACAGAGGGAGAAACATACAATACTCTATTGTGGTGGTACTTCTCATCAAAAATCACTTGTCATGACAAGGAACACAGGATAAGCAACAGTGGGCTTCTAGCCAATAAATGACAGAATAATCATGATCAGAATTGCAGCCAAATCATTCAGTATAATAAAAATACAGATTTATGTACCTTAGGAGATAACTTAGACTGAGAACTAGAAGATTTTTATGGCACAGTACAAGAAGCCATTTCTTTAGTAAAGACTATGAATATCCCAACGGTTATGGGATAACTCAATGCAAGTATAACAAACCCCAAGGTAATAATAATGTTGGGGAAGAAAGACCCTCCCCAAATAAAAAAACATATATCAGTGTAACATGTTCCTTAAAAAGGCCAAAACTTTGTCTAATTAATCTACTTAATCAGGCAAATGGAAAAAAAACTGATGAATTATCAACATAAATTGCATCAAAACATTTAAAGAACTAAATAATATTGTGACCTCAAGGGGAATGAATTTAAATTAAGAATGATCAAATGCTATATTTAGTCACTTCTCTTTTATGACATCAAACATGGATGGTATCCTTCCAGGGTGAGAACAACCTTTGAAATGTGGCATTTAAGGAGAATATTGAAAATTCTTTGGAGTCATAAAAGGTAAAAAAACAACTTGAAATCCTAGAGAAACCTCATAAAGACCAATAAACAAAGAAAAATGTGATATTTGGTACATTTATTTAGTATTACACATATCCCCGGGGAAAGGATGTTCCAGAGAATGGGAATCCCTGCAGAGGAGACCTTCCATCTAACTGATTTTCCATGGAATTCGAATTGCAAATTCCCTCAAGATATTTGAACTGGATGGGTAAACTCAATTTGGCAAGGCAGGACCCGATACGGGGGTGAAATGTTTCACCTTACAGATTTTTAATCGCATCCTATTTGAAATGAGCTCAGAAGCCTATTGGTAATTACTGCAGGGAACCCAAAGTCTGTGTTATCCTGTATTGCCAGGATTGGTGTGCCAGTCATCTGGCTGCTGCATTTTGAGCTAATGGCCTGAATCCAATGTTTTATGTCTGGCATCATTATATATCGCTGCATTGTTTGTCTTGTATCATTGACTGAAATTTTCCAACTTTCTTTGCTCTCTGCCTGCTCTAATAGGTTTCCTTTCTGTGACATGCAGTAATGGTGATGTAACTTTAAATGATTATGTTCAGGAGCTCATAATGAAAGCTCTCACAGCTGCTTACCCAAGGGTATTCCATATTCATGCTCCAATGGATCCACACATAAACTTGATTTCTTATTTATACTTAAGGAGAATAACAACCAGGATTTTGTTTAAAAAGCCTACCTTTATAAACATCTAAGAAGATCAAACAAACGACTAACTCCTATATAAGTCACAATTACTACTCTGTGCATAATTACTTTGAAGGAAACAAAGCAAAACAAAACAAAATAGGGGAACTATGTAATTGGACAGAAATATTATCATACTATTTGTGTAGATATTGACCCAATACCAATGATGTTATGAAATGATAACACATCAGGGCCTAGATCTACACAGGTTTGGAAAGTAAATATTTTGTTGAGAAGGATATCAAACTTTTAGGATTTCTGAAAAGTTTTATTAACTTGTATTCTTTCCTTGCATTTTTACAGATAAATGGCATGGAGTAGGAGGGAAAAATTAGAGAGAATTTGCCCAATCCAAAAATAAAAAGTAACATTTTGTTGTTTTCTCCCTACTTTTCTAAATAGTTTCCTCCCACTTCTATTTCTCTCCTATTTTTTGCAATGATCAGGAATTATAGTTAACAGGATGCTACAGATCTGCTGATCACATTTTTTCCCCTTGCTGTTTTTATACTTGTGATTCTTAAACTTGAATTTCATACTATTTTATGAATACATACAATGTATATAATTTCCTTCTGTTAGTGTATGATAATGACATTTAAACTTCAGCAAAAATTAATAATATATAAAACTGTCAAGTTGTATTGCATTATCACAAACTTTTCATTATGGAGATTTCATAGTCCACTTTGTCATATGAGATCAAATTATGTTTACATCCAGGATAACCAGTTTTAAAAACTAAACTTATTTGATTTAATTAATCTATATGAGCAGTTTGACTAATAAATATATAGAATTAAAAATAACAATGATTCATTTTTCCCAAGCAGGATACTGCTATGATTTAAATTATCAATGCTATGAAACACCAAACAGGGAGGGATAAAATATCAGTGGAATACATAAAGATTATAAATGATGTGAAATGTTTCATTGAGGAAGAGAGACAAACATTGATTCTGATCACTTAAAAGTTCTGACAAGTGGATATTTTTTTCAAACCAGAGGAATTCTCAACCTCAAACTTGTTTTTCAATCTCTCTTCTCAGAAGCCAATGTAAAAAAAATACTTAAAATATTAAAATATTCTATGCTATATACTAGATCTAATATATCCTGAAGTGTGCCAAGTCTGGGATGCACAATAATAATGCAAAATCCAAATATTCTGCCATTGTTATTGACATTGATACAAATACTGAAATTCTATATATTAGAATTTAATTTAATTACTTTGTTTCTGTTTTCTATATTGTGTTAAATCTTGTTTCTTAAATCCATCATCAATTCATTTCTAACCATGGGATTCAATCAGATCTGATTGGCAAGGATCTATGGTTTAGATGATGTAATGTTTGCCTACCAGTTTTATTTGTACAGACACTTGGGTGTATCTAACATTAAATATTTAGCAAGTTGTGCTAAAAATGTACAGAAGAAAAAAATGTTTTAGAATAGTAAGAGCCACTCAGAGCCATTTTCAGCAAGAAATTATGGCACTATTTTTATTTATTGGAAACACCTCCATTGAAACCATCAATAGGAGAATTCCTTGAAGTGCAAGTGGCAGTTTCAACTACTACTTTTTTATGTGGACGGATGGAAGAGAAAATTTAAACTCCTCTCCCCATCTTCCATAACCCTGAAGGTGCTCAGGGTTATTAAGTCTACTATTCACATAACAAGAAACCATCAAAATATAGGTGAAGCTTGACTTATGATCACGAGCATTCAAAGTTACAATGACACTGAGTGAATGGGACTTACAATGGGCCCTGGAGTTCTGGCTGTTCCAACATCCTTGCGGCCATGTAATTGTGATTTGGTGCTTGCAGTTATGTTTCAGTGAGCTGTGGTCACCTGATTGCAATTTATGATGTTCCCTGCCAACTTCCAACAAGTGAAGTGAACAGAGAAGCTAGCAGGAAGTCAGCAGCTGGAGCATGTGAGGTCCTTGCTTAAAAACCTGCTGAGGTCTTATTTAGTTATGGCAAGTGGGACTGCCGGAATTGCCATTGCTAAATGATGGGCTCACATGATGTTTATGACCATGTTGCTTAGAATTGGAATTCCTGGTCCCAACTGCTGTAGCAACCCAGGGGCTACCTGTAAATACAATAGTCTTAAGGTAATTAATATCATGTCTACTTTTACTAATTAGTGAGCAGATTGAGCACAGTAATGCCTGCATTCTTTCAAAAGAAAGTGTCTGTGGATATTCTCAGTCATCCAGGTCACGGCTGTCCCAAAGATGCTCCCTTAAGAAGACAACTGGACCTTCTCATTTCTCTTTGAAGACATTTAACTTTTCATACAACAAACTTCTTCAGCTCTGACTTACTTTCAGAAAAAAGCATTTGCATGTATAATGCTGAGGCAAGGTGAGGCAGGTTTCCTACTTGATATAACTTGCATGGATATACTTACACAAACACACACAAAAATGGGATTGACAAGGCCCTTGGCTCCTATGCGCACAGCACTGAAGCCTCCAACTGCTAAATTTCCACTGTTAACTTCCATATCACTATCAATTTCATTCCAGAAAAATGCCCTTTCTCTATGAGGTTATTCATAAAGAATAATGTGACTAACCCACCTTTTGAAGTAGCTTAATGAAAGAATAGAGTTTGAAATTAAAGTCCTTTAGAATTAATGGGCTGATTCATTAATGAAATTAAAGTATATTGAGATGTAAATCGAAGGTAGGAGATTATGAAAGTGGGATAAAGAGAGGAAGAAAAACGAAGAGAAGTATTAATGAAATAATTCAAAACATTTTCTCTCAGCTAGGGATGTATGTGTGTGTGTGTGTGTGTGTGTGTGTGTGTATGTATATATGTATGTATGTATACACACACACACATAAGACCAGAATAAATCAAATACATAATAAAACAAAACAGTTTATTGCTCTATTGTTCTCTAGATTTCTGCATTTGTTCTTTTATTCAAATTCCAGGAAATTTGGAATTGGAGTTGCTTATCTGGTTTTGTGCCAATCAGGAAAGAAATTCTCTACTCCTCCCTACGAGAGAAAAGGAACAGAAAGGAAAAATGGGAATTGCCTACCTGAGAGAAAGGGAAAAATCTTTCAATCCTGATTTTGATGACCGCCTTCCTTTATCTAATTTGACAGGTTGGGTTTGATTGACAGGTTAAATTGATGCTTTCTTTTAATTCTTTCATATATTTTTCTCTTGGGACAGGATTTCTTTGCATCCACTTTAGTACATCTCACCATAGTCATTA